TTACAGAATGGATGTTCAACATGTTCATTCACAGTCGTAACTTCCTCCTCATTATCATCAACAACATCTTCCTCGGCAACGGGTGTTTCATCATCAAAATTCGGGTATTGACCAATATTAAAATCATTACACACATGGTCTGTTTCTTCTTCTGAAACATCATCAAAATCCGTGTATTGACCAATATCAAAGTCCGGATATTGACCAAGACCAAATTTCGAATACTGACTAGTACTCACAATTTTTTCTGTTGGCTCATCATCGTCTAACTGGTCAATACGAAAACCGGAATTTGGTGCTGAAAGTTGATTGGGATTTGGATTAGAGAAAGGTTGTGGGTTTTGAGAAAAACTTAGTTGATTACTACCCGCTACTGACCCAACAATACTACTAGGTTCAACAACATACAATGTAACATCATCTTGTGAAACACTAATGTAAGCAATGAATCGTTCAACATCTTCATTGTCGGTTAACAAATAAACTTTACCATTTCTCTGATAAGATAGCCTAAATCCACTTAGGGGCTCTAAATTCAATTTATTTGAAACACGTAGCATTAGAGTTTCATAAGTTAACTTTTGTAAAGACAATTTTAGTTGAAGATTCATGGGTAAAGGCATATATTGTAAAACACCATGAACATTATCCCATGACCCTCCAAAACACAAATCTATCCAAACATGATCAGATGATTTCATGGTTGTAAATTAATTTACTAAACAGACGAGCTGCGAAACTAAAACCTGTTGCCGGATTGGGAAGGATGTCGTTGGATATAGGAACGGATGTCGCCGGAGAGAGTGATAGATGGAGATGGAATGAGTTGCGATTTAGGGATTTAGTTTATGATTTCAGTGTTATATACCCAAAATTTCAGTGTTGTGATTTACAGATTCTCGTTGCGATTTACGGATTATCGTTGCGATTTACAGATTCTCGTTGCGATTTACGGATTATCGTTGCGATTTACGGATACGCGTTGCGATTTACGGATTATCGTTGCGATTTACGGATACGCGTTGCGATTTACGGATACGCATTGCGATTTACGGATACGCGTTGCGATTTACGGATACACGTTGCGATTTACGGATACGCGTTGCGATTTTATGTATTATCGTTGCGATTTACGGATACGCGTTGCGATATACGGATACGCATTGCGATTTACCCATACGCGTTGCGATTTACGGATACACGTTGCGTTTTACGGATACGCGTTGCGATTTATGTGTTCGCGTTGCGATTTTCATATTCGCGTTGCGATTATTGAAAATCGCAATGCGAATTTGTACTATCGCATCGCGATTTTCAAGAATCGCGTTGCGATTTTGGAAACTGATTTGCGATTCTGGGGATCGCGTTGCGATTTTTATTTCGCGTTGCGATTTTGTTGGTCATTTTGGCAAATCCAAAAAAAGTTGGTTAAAATCGTATATTATAACTTTTTTTTGGTCACTGAGGCGATTTTCTCATTAAAATATGGTATGACATCAAAAAGTAATATGACGAGTATCGATGAGTATCACTATCGATGAACATTATTAGTTTAATTTATAAAACTTTAAAATTATAAAGTAGTCAACTAGTAATTATAAATTAGTTAAAAATTTAAATGTAAATTATTTAAAATAAAATATTAATTATATTATTTTTATAATCTTATTTTAAATAATAATTAGATCAAATATTAACCCTTAAATTTAAAAATTCCTAAATTCTTTTTTTCTTCTTTGACGTGGCAACGGTGACAGCGATAACGATGACAACAACAGTGACGGTGACGATAATAGTGACGATGATAGCGGTAGCAGCGACAATGACGGCAGTGGCAATGACAATAGTAATAGTGGTGGCACGACAATGACAATAGCGACAGTAGCAGTGGCGACTGCGACAGCGGGTCCAAAGCATAAAAAAAGAATTTAGGATTTTTTTAATTTAGGGGTTAATATTTGATCTAATTATTATTTAAAATAAGATTATACAAAATAATGTACTTAATATTTATTTTAAATAATTTAATTTTTAACTAATTTATAATTACATGTTGAGTATTTTATAATTTTAAAGTTTATAAATTAAATTAATAATGTTCATCGTTAATGATGTTCATTGATGCTTGTCGAACATGGCAGAATCATCATGTGATTTATAATTTAAATATACGAATGTATAGAAATTTAATTAATTATATGTATAATACAAGAAAAATAAAATGAATATTAAAAGATAAATAATAAAACTATAATTTGTCATCCATCCTACTAACAACTATCAAATGTAATCCTTAGTCCTTTTGGGCCTAAAGCTGTCATGCCTCGTATTTGGGCCACTAAATATATCAAAACTAAAGTAACTAGTCCAATTTTAATCCAATTGGATTAAATTGAATCGATTCCAAATTCACAATTTTTAAAAAAAATAATTTGGATGGTTAAATTATTTGAATCTAAGATGTTTAGATTCGAACTGAATTAATAAGGTTATTTTTTTTAAAATTTGAGTTCGAATTAGATCGTATTCGGATTTAAGATGAAAATTTATGGTCCATCATAGGATAATACTACAATTTCTCTGTATATATTTAGAGATAATTACTAAAATATCTTTTTTATATTTTTTTCAATTAATTTTTTATTTTATTAAATTTAAAAGAGAGAAAATAATATATTTATGTTAAGTTGAGTCTTGGTCGAATTGGGCGGAACAAGTTTTTAACCCATTCACCCAAAAAATCGATTTGAGTTTGAATAGGGTGGAATGTCACCAAACCTCGAGTTGGGTCGGAGTCATGTGAAAACCTTCTATTTTTTCATCAAAGTCGGGTAATAAAAAATTTAACCCGACACATGTTCATCCTTAATCTTGACTCCCTCTAAATGATAAGATTTTAAATTTAGTCCTTTAAGACGTAAAGTTTGTACTACAATCACCTAAAGTGATAGAATTTTAATTTAATCCTTTAAAATTATATAATTAAAAGTCATAGACATAATAAAATTATGAGTAAATTATGCGTTTAGTACCTAAGCTATAAGTTTTTGTCTGTTTTAGTACCTAAACTTTCATTTTTTAAAGCATACCTAAAATTTAGTTTTTGTTTCATTCCAGTATACTGTCGTTAAAAACTTTAGTTTTTGTTTCATTTTAGTACCTCTGTTCAAAATTTAACGTTAAGTTTAGGAAAAAAATTTGAAAGTTTAGGTACTAAAACGGATAAAAATTGATAGTTTAAGTACTAAACGCATTAAGTTTTTAATGGTGGGTGCTAAAATGAAATACAAACTAAACGTTAGGCATGCTTTTAAAAAATTTAAAGTTTAAATACTAAGACAGATCAAAACTGATAGTTTATGTATTAAATGTGTAGTTTAACCTTTTAAAAATTTATGATTTTATTTTTAACTCCTAAAAGTAATTTAATCATGCCGCTAAAACTGGTAACTTTTTAGGTTGATTGAGATGTGGTAATGAGTTGATTTCTTGAATGGATTATTTCCCATTTTGGTAGAGGATGGAGTTAGTTTCCAAGTAAACTATACATGAATGTCTCCAAATGCAGGTCATGTAATTAGGGGAGTTGATTGAAATGCGGGTACCCGATTATTAAAAAGATTTGGCCTAGACCCGACCCAACTACCCGAGAAAAATCACGATCCAGGTGCCTGGCCCATTCGGATAATATTAAAAAAAAAATTACCTAATTTTTTTTTTAAATCCAGGTCGACGGGTCAACAAGACTGGATATTTTTTAACACCCCCTACATGTAACCACAATCGTTGATACATTGTAGTGAACATTAACTAATACATATCGATTTAACCGATTGAACCAACAATTAATTTAACCAGTTTGATTGATTTTAAAAATTAAACATTTGACAATAAACGCTCAAATATTTTATCATCTCTGGTGTTCGAATATGAAATCTCTAAAAATAACAATTATTTTTTTAATTGAAATATTTGTATACTTATATATCCGTAATTAAACACGTGTCATTACTAGCATTAATGGTATAAAGTTGAAAGAAGGGGTGGGGTTCTAAAGAGTTAAGTGCTGTCTCAACCACCCCAAATATAGAAGTTGTCTCAAAAACTCATCCTTTTTGTCCCAACTGCCTTCTTTGTTAGGTCCGATGTCATGCTATCAATGCCATGTTCCACGTCTCATTATATTGAAATAATAACAGTTGTTGTATTGACATTGAAATATCATTATAAAATCTAAAACTTAAGGGTCTTAATTTTTAAAAAATTCAATTAGATCCTTAATTTATGTGTACTAAATTGAATCTTCATACTGTTATATGACATATGATACTAATTGATCTGAAAATCGTTAAATGTAACCATCAACATTGGTCAAAGGTGTGATTGATGAAGCTTAGAAGTATAGCGGTTTAATTGTATGTAAAAAAAAATCTAGGAACTTAATTGATTTTTTTCAAAAGTTTGATAGAGTTTTACACCTAAAAAATTAAGGGTAAATTATGAATTTAATACTTAAACTATCAGTTTTGATCCATTTTAGTACCTAAATTTTTACTTTTTTCAAAATCATACCTAATTTTATTTTCCATTTCATTTTAGTATCCCGCCATAAAAATCTTAATGTGTTTAGTACCTAAACTATCAGTTTTGGTCCATTTTATACCTAAACATTCAAAATTTTTTCAAAATTTAATGTTAAATTTTAAACAGGGTACTAAAAATGAAACAAAAACTAAAATTTTAAAGGCGGGTACTAAAATGAAACAAAAATTAAACTTTAGGTATGCTTTTGAAAAAATTGAAAGTTTACATATTGAATCAAACTAAAAATGATAGTTTAGATACTAAATACGTAGTTTACCCAATAATTAAATATCATTCGTCATCTTTGAGTCAACATCATATTACAAATTTGGTACAATTTCAAGCCCAGTAGCCCACAAAACCAAACTTTCTATGTGAAGTTCTTTTTTAAAATCCCTGCAAGATAACTAACCTGCTTCTCTTAGGGGTAGATTCCCAGGAGCTAAAGAAAAGAAAAGAAAATGTCTTCAGCTGTTGTAGGAACTTTCTCGGCATCCAAACAAATCGGGTTCAAAGAAAAAGATGAGAAGAACAAGAAGTTAGTTGATGATGATGTCGAAGCTAACAACAATGGTGATGATGAACACAATGATGATGATGATGATGATAGCAAGGTGAAATCCGACAAGGAATTGGATCTTGGCCCTCAGTTTTCTCTCAAAGAACAGCTTGAAAAGGACAAGGTAGACATATCTACTTGCATGAAAAACATTTTCTTCTCTAATTTTCCAGGAAAATCAAGCCCGGATTCCGGGAAAACTCAACCATGAGATGTTTTTCTATTCTCTAGGATGACGAGAGTTTGAGAAGATGGAAAGAACAACTTCTCGGTAGTGTCGATATGTCCTCGGTCGTCGGAGGTATACCTTAATCCGACCACTTCGATTTCAGTCTTCTTATAATTCGTATTCGATATTTATGTTCTGATGTCCGAATGTTCTAATGCAGAGAGTAAAGAGCCCGAGGTTACGATATTAAGCCTATCGATCCTATGTCCGGGGCGACCGGACATATTGTTATCGATTCCGTTCGCTTCGAAGCCTAAGAGCTCTCTGTTTATGCTAAAAGAAGGAAGCAAATATCGCCTCAAATTCACCTTCAACGTCTCCAACAACATCGTCTCCGGTCTCAAATACACCAACACTGTCTGGAAAACCGGCGTTCGAGGTACCTAAATAAGAAAACGAATCAAATCAAATCCGGGTTTAAACTCTTTTATCTTTGTAGAAAAATCGAGTCGGATTCGGGTCTGATACGATTTGTACTTGTAACAATTTGGCAGTGGACAACACAAAGCTAATGTTGGGGACGTTTAGCCCACAAAAGGAGCCTTACACATATGAATTGGAAGAAGAAACCACTCCTTCTGGCATGTTCGCTAGAGGCTCCTACTCTGCAAGAACCAAGGTAAATTATATTTAGGTCAAAATACACTTCGAGTCCCTGTTCTTTTCAAATATTTGTACTTTAGTTCCTCTATTTCTTAATTGTAGAAATTAAGATTTTTCGTTTGTTTATGCAGTTTGTTGATGATGATGGCAAAGTGTATTTGGACGTGAGTTATCACTTTGAAATCCAGAAGAACTGGCCTTCACGTTCTTGAAAACACTTTATCTATATGAAAATAAAAAAATTAAAAAAATACAATTAATCCTTTTTTTTATTTTATTTGTGCTTGATGTTTGTATTTTTTAAAAAAAATATTACCATCTCCCCCCTGTAGATTTTGTTTTATATTATTATTACTATTATTTTATGTTTGATTGCCTATCTGTCTACATATCACTTACACATTCTCTTTATTATAAAAAAATAATAATGTGATGATCACTGCACACATTTTTATACAATATCATATTTACATTTACGGTAAAGTATACAAATGATCCCTTGACTATAGAGTATTGTTTTATTAAGTCATTCGACTATTAAAAGTTACAAAATGATCATTCGACTATAGAGTGTTGCTTTGTTGAGTTCTTCGCCTCTTAAAAGTTGCAACATGGGCACTCGACTATTCATTATGTTCCAAACTTGTCATTCTGAGCTGAACGTTAACATACTGACCTTGATATAATAAAATTTGATCTCAAAATCACAAATGACTATCATATCTCAGTCATCATGTTAAAGTCCAACTTAGACAACCGTCAATTTTTAAAGGAATAGGACGAGTTTGGAACAAAAAGAATAATTGAGTGATCATTTTGAAACTTTTAATAGTAAATTGACCTAACAAATGTACATTCTATAGTCGGAGGACCATCTTATAATTTTTAGTAGTTGAGGGACTTAATAAAGTAATACTTTATAGTAGGGGACCATTTGTACACTCTACCCTTATATTTAAAAGTTTAATATATATTAAATTTATTTGTATAAAATATAATACCATTAGATGAATATCGGATCCATAGATGATTAAAATATATTAATTTGATGAGTTTTAATTCGATAGCGATTTTATGAAAGAGAAAATTAAGTTTAGGATAAAGAATGTCTAACTTAGATAATTATTAGAGTTAATTACATGTATACGTGTCCAAATTATAAATTTTGTTCTAAATTAATCTCTAAATTTCAAACATTTTAAATTAATCTCCAAACTATTATCCTCATTCTATATTGTTTTTCAAACTTTTGAACGTTTCGATTCTATCCTCGAACTTTTGAATGATTTTGGAGAATGTTTGTAATGTTCAAAAGTTTGGGGATTTGTTTAGAATGAAGATCATAGTTTAAGAATGAATTTGGGGTAAGTACGAGGTACAATCTGTTCAAATATAACTCTCAATCATTTGACATTGAACGCTCACACCTCTACATTCTTGGTTCTCGAACTTGGAACCTCAAAGAATAACAACAATTCATTTACCACCGAAATCAATTGGTTTATATATATATATATATATTTATTTATCCCTTTATATTGTTGAAAATTTTAAAAATAAAATTAATTTAAGTCAAATAATGAAGGATTCTTACCTTAAAATTTAGAATAAATAGAAATTCATCAAATGTTAGAAGAGTCGAAATCAAGTCGATAAAAGAACTGATGTATCCCGTCTCGTACTCACCCTTTATCAAATATGATAAAAGGGTAAACTACAAAGTTAGTACCTAAACAATCAATTTTGATTCTTTTTAGTACCTAAATTTTTAATTTTTCAAAAATCATACATAACGTTTAGTTTTTATTTCATTTTAGTACATCGTCATAAAAACTTAATGGACTAGCTCGCCGACCTCCTTGTTTACAGTAGTCGGTCATCGTATCTGTTGGCCGATGAAGCCCAAACTTTTCAACTGCACTTTTTCAACCCCCTAAACACGATTTTGGTCTCTGTTTCATCAGAAAACGGTTCAATCTCTCCCAAATGACGATGGACTCTTCGATTTCTTCATCTTTCGATCTCCGTCGTCAACCGTTCGATGGGCCTGAAACTGGACTATGTTGGTCGACTCGTCATTCTCTTGTGGTCCACCGTTCAGATTGGTCGTCCGTCCACTGGAGCTATGCGCCGTCAACCCGTCCGTTAAGTTTTTAATGGTGGAGAACTAAAATGAAACAAAAACTAAATGTTAGGTATAGTTTTAAGAAAATGAAAGTTTAGGTACTAAAACATATCAAACCCGATATTTTGAGTACTAAATGTATAGTTTGCTCTAGAAAAAAATCTGTCAAAAGAAACTTGATTGCCCCTAACAATTGGTGAAATTATTATGGTTGTGGGGAATGAAAACGACAAGGGACATGGACACCATGTGCCATGATTTTAGCAGTTGTGGATTTTTTTAACTTTTCATGCTGGTATGCCTTACATTGCAAGCCTTCAAAAGTAAATGCCAATCTATTTTTTTGTGGTCCTAACTCAAACATAACTTTGTACTATACGTGTTCCAATCACGTGTAATTTGATAGACTTACTTCATGGATTGGTACCAAGAACCAAACTAGATTAAAATATTGGGATCGAATCGTCAAATTTTAAAAAATATTAGTAATTAATATAGAATTAAATATGTCAACGAAGCTTGTGATATAACGACAAACAAGAACGGAGTTAGGATCAAACGTGAAGCAAACATGGCAGCGGACTTGAAAGTTGAAGGCAGAGTTGGCGATTGAACCAGTTGGCGTCGGTTTTCAGCTCGTTTTAATTCTGGACACGGCACGGCTGCGTAGCAAGAACAAAAGCATGAACTCATTTTTATCGCAGGGATGATAGTAAAGTGATGATGGTAAATTGTGACCTTCCAAACCGCAGGGAGTCCACTCCAATTCTGCTCGAACAAGAGTTGTATCGATGCTGATATGGTCCGGAAATGCAAGGTCGGATGAATCCGACCGATCTGTATCGGCTTGACACATGATCTGATCCGTATATGAAAGCAGATGTGCACCTGTTGGTCCCTGCAGCACTAATGACCTCCATCACGCTTGCTGTATAGGAAGTAATATTTTCAGAAATCATGGCATGGCAGCCATGTAACTTAGAAGCCACGTCGCCACATCTTTTCTGCAGGCAGCTAGAGATCGGATTAGTTCGATTGTCGCGGAAAAACAGCACGAAATTACCGCAACCTACCGACTCGAATCGATAGAATCTACTCGAGAAGAAAAATGGAGAACTTTGTAGGTTGACACTTGAAGGAGAAGTGGTGCTGACAATTCAGATAAGTTATTGGATTCTTGACGAAGACGACGCCATTCCCGTTAGCCGAAATCGAATAGAGTAGCTCGAGATTGATGCGGCTGACGAAAGGCTTTCAGCCATTAGCGGTTTCGTTGCAAGTTGCTCTAAACCAGGGATTGTTATAGGCATAACAACCACTTGTTATTCCGAATGGATAATGAATCTGAACGTTCCCACATGTTTCAGAACAAGCAGAGTTAGCTGCTGTTATTAGCCATGGCAGCTGCATGACGAAGCAAAACACCAGGCCAACTCCCATTCTCCCACCTTGGATTGTTTATGAAGATCTTGCTAAGTCGGTGAATAAATAAGCTCCACCGGAATTTTGGAAGAGCAAGATGAAGATTCGAAGAAATTTATTACCTGTTTGACACCAACAAAGAATGCTTCTGCCGTGTTGGACCCTTCACCCTTCCATTGAAGAAGATCCAACATTACAATTTAGTCATGAAACATAAGTAATCTAATCTTTTGACCACAAATATCCAAATCAGTAGTAATGAAAACTCTCTTCTTTGATTCCATCACTAGAATTTTCAGCAAAGGTTGTCTCTAGAAGCAAGTCCACACTACAGCAAAAAAGGACGATTATTTCTGTCACTGTAAAGGCCCGGACAATGTGCGACTTCGTTTTGGTGTCGACCATTGATACTCAAAACGACGTCATTTAGACACTAAATTTTAGGCATCATGAGCGACAAGTTCAGTAAACATTGCACTGAACATTAGGTGTGTATCAATTTTACCACTAAACTTTTAAGCAATTTTACTTTTAGTACTATACTTTTTCTCTGCCGCCAACGGTCATTGATCATCTTTCACGACAAAATCAATATAGTTTTCAATTTTCACTCCTACTACTATAGACTTTCCACTATTTAAATCACCACCACAATTTATATATTTATACATCATGAATTTGTAACATAAATCTTATTAATTTCTTCAACAGAATAAATAATATGGATATGTAATATAAACTATGAACATTTATAGATTAGAGTATGTCCTCCAGTCCTGTAACTTTTTGTACAAGATAAATATTAAAACCAGTAAGAAATTATAAAAACTGGATAAATAACCAGAAACGATAAGCCAGTGTCGCAGAGAAAAATCGAATCAAGGAACACGTTCCAGTACTCGTTGTAAAGCCTTCTTGATACCTTCTTGATCAAGGGATGTTGTCAGTTGGATCTCCTGAACCTGAACGCCGAACAGGATTTGATGAAACCGCGAAAACAAATTGATGCGAACGGACAGAAAAGATCGTACGACGGATTACCTGTCTTCCTGCACGAGCTAGGAGGGTGAACATATTGTCACTAGGCGGTGCCTGCAACAGGATGGTTGACACAGATTAATGATCCTAACTTACATTGAAGCTTTTGAGGATACTCATGTTGGACACAAATGTGTCCAAGCAACTTACATTTGAAAGCCAAAGCTGCAAATCTTGAGAGACTACCCGTTTTTCGAACCCTTGTCGACTAATCCTTACATCATTTATACTGGACCAGAACATAGATGTTGCAGAATGAGTAACCGCATGATTTATCAGGTAAAAATCCAAATAAAGAAATGAAACCATACCCATCTTCCTGCAGAAGCTCTTTAAATATCACGTCAAGTCCCGGAAGTGGTTCGATGGTACTATTATTGCTTGAAGTCAAGGAATCAAAATCAGCTGAACCATCCTGAGAAGTGTAAATCCATTGTTAACCAATGAAATTGAAATTGATATTCGAATCGAAGATCATTGATCACAACTTCAAATCACAAACCTGGGGAATCACTTTGTCCAATGTTTCCAACAGTGGATCTTCCTCCAACTGTTTGATTGATAGAGTAATCCTTGACTTAGCCCTACATAAAATCTCAATGAAATGTCGGCACAAGTGGCACTAAAGAAAATGCCATTCGATTAACAAACAGGGACAAGAAAAGCCTCGTATAATCGGGTATGTGCCTAATACGGGTATGTTCAATTGTTTTGAAAGCTTTTCAATGTATTTGGAAGATACTTAAAAGGTCATATTCTCGCATACCTATGTCCGAATATTCGTTCAATAATGTAGTTAACACTAAGCTGAGAAAACTCACCTATCAATATTAATAACCTTCACTCGAACATCATCTCCTTCAGTCAAGATGTCTCTAACATCTTGAACTAAATCCCAGGAAACCTCCGAGACATGAACTAGGCCAGTGAGATAATACACTCCTGCATCAGATGTAAGGCAACGGTAAAAAGGTTCGCGAAATGCAAAGGCCTAATGAAACTCGAGAGCGATATAAATCAGAGACCCTAAATACCATCAGGGAAGCACAAGTGAACAAAAGCGCCATAATCTTCGACAGAACCGACTTTTCCTTCGAAAATATCCCCTACATTAATTCTGGTAGAGAACTTTGTCCATACGGCTTCCTTCTCCGAGAATATCAATTTCCTGCTCTCTTCTTCAGCTTGGATTACCTAAAGTAGTAAGATGAGATACTCAAATTACTAAAATCAAAGGGGAAAATGGAACAAGTTAAACATTCTGCTTATGAAAACTATGAACTAATGTCTTTTATGAGATGAAAGAAGAACATTAACACGGCGAAAGAAGCATTACCTTCACAGAAAGAATCGAACCAACCAGACCTTTAGCAATCTGATGGATTGTTTTGCTGGGTTCTACAGCATAAGTTGTCATGAAAAAATGTAATAGATTAGGTTTCAGTGCTACCATAAACTTGTATTTCAGAGAAAGGAATGAAAATCTATTGCATTTAAGTTCATGGACGATGGCTACGAGACGAAAAAGAATGGAAAAAGAAGAAATCACTTGAATTTGGAAGAAATTTGATATCAAATCTATGTCAAGACTATAAAGGCTAACTGAACCTATATGTTATCTCAACTGATTCGTGTAAGGTGGCATCTAACAAGTTCGAGATTCGAAATCGAACATTTCTCAACTCCAAAATCCACAATTGCAAGCATACAATTCACTCTTTTCCAATGTTATTAATCCAAATGCAAAAATGTCAAAAGATTGGAAATTTTGTGGCCCTAAAGCTTAAAACTCATGACCAAATTCAGAGCAGCAACAAAAATGGTACCTTTACATGAATGTGAAGGGCTCATCTGAGGAAAAGGGAGAAACCCCACAAGGGAATAGAACCGAATCAACAAGCCTCCACCATTAAATCCTTCAACTCTACCCCCATAGATGAACCCACTCTGCAAATATGCCCTGGCAGCCTTCCAATCAGCAGACCTCTACTTCTTTGCAGAGACTAAGTATTAGATTGTATATACAAGTATTAAAGAACTGAACTTGGAACACTTTAAAAAAAATGCTCTTTTTATTAGTCCTCAAAATACATTTAAAAAAAAAGGAAAAGAGTGGCATAAAAACACACCTGTGCTGGTTTAATACCATCAGTGGGCACAGAATTGTCAAGAACTGCGGTGAGGGCAGCTTCAGGTTGTTGAGAGCTATCAGTTTTGGTATTGGATGAAGCAGAGACTTTGAGATTACACAATGATGATGATGAAGATGGGGATCTCTTGAAAAGAGATGGTTTAGAGTACACATTTGAGAGCTTTGGTTGGTTTAGGAAACAAGAGAGAGAGGAGGCATCAGGGTTGAAGAGATGAGAAAGGAAAGAAACTGAGCCAATTGTTGCAGTGAATGTAGGCATTGTGAGAAAGGAAATTGATGGTTGAAGAAGAAGATGGGATGATGATTTGTATATTTTGTTTCAAGTTGGAAGGGGGTCTCTCTGGTCAGTTTTTTTAGAGCTATGTGTCATCTCCATGCCCACACACATCCATTCACTCCTAAAATCCATATATAATCCATCTATTATTACTGGATGAACCGATATATAAAAGTTAGCGTGATTATATCGATAATATCTATTAATATAGTACGAGATGAATGTTAGAAATATGAACGTTTACTGTTAAATAGTTGAAAAGAAATTTTAAATAGATATTATTTTATACTTATCCTAAATTAATAAAAAAAATATTATTAAATACATATGGATACCTAATAGATGGTAAGTATCTGGCGTGAGATAGATTTGAAAATATAACTATGTTAGTATATGTAGACTTTCTAACACCAAGAATTCATGATGTTTATAGTTAATGTTTCGATTCGAGTTATTTTAGTGATAAAAGAATTATTATTATTCTTTGAGATTTCGAATTTGAATATCAATAATACTAAAGATGTGAGCGTTACAATATCAAATGATTTATATAAGGGTGTCCTAATGTCTTGTTCCAGCATGGAATAGAAAGTTATTCAAATGAATTGGTTTAATTGCAGGAAAAGGGCCCGTGGGTTTGACCCAAACTCTTAGTGGTACAAGCCCACCAGAAACACAGACAAACATCTCGATTTATTTTATTGAAGTTTGAGATTAATTTTCTAATTACATGTTTTGTCTGCTCCGGTGGTCCCAATCGAATATTCTTGTGAGGTGCAAAGCAACTTCTTTTGCACTTAAATCGTCATCAATTGAATATTTTAGGTTCATATTATTGCAATTACACAGCTACTCAATCCATGTTTATTTTTTTAATTTATATAAATAAATTTTCCTTTTGGCATTGGAAATAAATTAAGACAAGACCAAGAGAAGTTTTTTTAGCTAATTGATTAAAGTCAAAACCCTCTTAATTAAAATTAACAAAATCGCCCGTAGTTTATATATTAGGCTTAATTGTACCTTCGATCCTTGCACTCTTTTGGACTAAGAATAACCCCTCCGGCTAGGGATGGCAATTTAACTTGAATCTGATAAGTTCTGACACGACCTGATGGATTCGGATTTAAAAGAAAATTGGGTTCGGGTCGTATTTATCGGGTTGGGTCAGGTTTGAGTGGAGTGTGAAAAAACTTCAATTCGACCTGATCCAAGGATAATAATGTAATTTTCTTAAAATTATTATTTTTAGTTAAATCCTTATTTTTTTTATCGATCGGTCGGATTTATACTCTAAAAAATTGGGTCGGGTCAGAGTCGGGTGGAGGATACATATTTTTGGGTTGGGTCGAGTCGAGTTGACCAAAATCTCGACACTAACCCGACTTGTTGCCATCCCTACCTACTTCAATTACTAGAATATAAACCCGAAACCTCTATATAAAATAATCATTATTTGATCAATGAGGTAATTTAATTCATGCTATAATAATTGATTTATTAATTGACTGAATCATATTTACTATCATTTTTTATTAATCTGGGCAAGTACAAAGTAATATATGTTCAAAGATAACTCTTAACATTTTGACAGTGAACGCTTACACCCCTAACATCTATGGTACTCAAACATGAATTCTCAGGAATAACAATAATTCCTTTACCAATATGGGCACCTGATTCGTGCCATATTTACTGTCATATATGTGCATTGTGTGAGTGATTCTCATAACACATTTTCAAAACTTATAATATTAACACTCAAACTTCGACTTTATTTAAAGAATCTAACATTTAATTTTACTAAACTAATAGAGAATCCGATATTTTATTTTATTAAATTAAATAATATTTAATAATATATATATATATATATATATTTATTAATACATACAATAATTATTTTATATATGTAAATTTGGATAATTTAATGAGCATGAATCATATAAAGAAAAAGCATAACTATCGTATGGTATAATTAAGCTTATGGGGTTTGCTTGATGATTGGAGCTTTTAGTGTTAAGTTCTAGGAATATATATATATATATATATATGAAAGCATTTTCTTGGAAACTCAATTATCTATTGTTTCTTTCATTCTTTTTTATAAAAAAATATATTAGTTTTAAGTTTATTTATTGGTAAAATACATAAATGGTCCCTCGACTATAGGGTACTGCTTTATTAAATCTCTCAACTATAGGGTACTGCTTTATTAAATCTTTCGACTATTAAAAGTTACAAAATGATCATCCGACAATAGAATGTTACTTTTTTATGTCTCTTGACAATTCAAAGTTACAAAATGGTCACCCGGCTATTTATTATATTTTAAACTCTTCATTTTTCATTAAAAAAATTAGCGGTTGTCTAAGATGAACATTAACATGAAGACTAAGATATGATAATCTTTGAGATTATAGGATCAGATTTTATCACATCATAGTCATCATGTTAATGTTCAGCTCATAATACCGTCAAATTTTTAACGCAAAATGATGAGTTCGGAACATAATGAATAGTCATATAACCATTTTGTAACTCTTAGTAGTCGAGTGACTCAATAAAGCAACACTCTATAGTCAAATGATTATTTTGTAACTTTTAATAGTCGATGGACTTAATAAAACTGTACCTATAATCAGGGAACTATTTGTGTACTTTAGCCTAAATTTATATCGTTGGGATTTAATTTCATGATGAGAGAATTCATCCTAAACTCCAATAAAATGTTAATATCACTATTTTATTTATGTACTTAGTCGTAATAAGTCCCTTTCATATTGGACTCCTTTTTCATAAGAAAAAGATTTGTAGCATTTATTTTTTCTGTTCATGGTGTTATAAGTGGTTTACTGATATCAAAGATGAAAATTCCTCTTTTGACACATAAGTTATGGTTTAAATTTTCTATTATATTAATAGTCTCGTAAAATAATTTTTTTTTTCTAAAATGATCCCTCAGTAAAGAAGAAAGATACAACAATATTCCAGATATATAATCGTCAGCAGAATTTTAGTATAATTTTGGCAAAAAAAATCAGAGGTCCTTGTACTTTCAAATTTTTTCAAAAACCTGACGTTAAATTTGAACGGATACTAAAATGAAACAAAAATTAAGCTTTAGGAATGGTTTTAAAAAATTAAAAGTTTAAATACTAAAATGGATCAAAAATAATAATTTAGATACTAAACATGTAATTTACCTTTTTGAAAATTGTTGGTTAAAATATTTTAGAGTTTAGGGTTTAGGGTTTGCAACTCTTTGTAAAGCATCTTTATAACCAGTGGAAGGTTAATTTGTTTTTCTATCTGAAATTTGGCGGTTCATAAAATAAATCTAAAAGTTATACTTAAGAAAGAAGGTTATACCTAAACGATAGTAATGAGTAGATATAATGTTTCTTTCTTTTAGAACTCATCAAATAGTTTTAGTGATAGAAAGAAACGTCGTTTTTCTTAAAGATTCTCAGTTCGAGTAATTACGTTTATAGAGTGTGTACGTTGTTAATTGATTAAAAAATTATAAACAGATAACTTACGAAGTCACTCAATGGATTCCAAACTCAATTCTTTTTTTAATAGTATAAAGTGATTATAAGATAATATTTGTACAAAATCTTTATTAGTAATTAATAACGTACACAACCTATAAACACGACAGCTCGAATTTAATTTTTTTTTAAATAATATTTTTTTTTTACCATTGCAGTAGTTTTATGGATTTTTCAAACCCAATTCTTTTCTTGTCTTATTGAGCGAGCCAATCGCGAGTTGGACAGTATTCGACTCGTGCTTGTTAAAAGATTTTGTTGCTCGACTCGATTCGTTGCTCGTTAAAATTTTTCTCGACTTGTGATCGTTAAGAAATTTGTTGGTTGAATCATTGCTTGTTAGGCTAGTTGCCCGTTAAGCTCACCAAAATTTTTATATATTTTTTTTAATTATAAGTAAAATCTAGTAATACTATATGGAACTTATTATAAACATAAATTAATAAATTTAACCAAAAAATTATCAAAAGAGTGTATGAAACATATTCAAAGTTTAAACATCAAAATAACAATCCATAAATACATCAAAATAATAATTATGTTTAATTTTTGTAGTAAAATAATCATTATTAATTAATAATTTAATATATTTAATTATTTATTAGAAAAATAATAAATTAATAATTTATCATCATTTTTATTATTTTGTAATAAAATATTTTTTTAAGATAACTACTAAAAATTAATAATAATAAAATTAACGAGTTGCTCACGAGTTTATCCACTAAAGTTAGGCTTTACTCGATTCAGCTCGTTAAGGTGTCAAATTTGAATTGAGTCAATTCAAATCGATTTTTATCGAATTTTGACCGAGTCGAGTTCAAACTGCTCACGAACTGCTTAACTCATTAAACACCCCTAACAGTGAATCATCCAAAAACTGATATTTAACATTTAAAAAATATTTATTTAAAATATAATAATAAATATAATCTTCAAAATATATTTCAAATATATATAATATTAAAAAAAAATAGAGTTTAACTACTATTACAATGTAACTCTTTTTCTAAAATAAAAAAATGGCAACTTGGCCAAAGCCTAATCATAAACCCTGCCATAGAAATGATTCTTTCCAAGCTTTGGTTAGAAGAGACTTTAAAATATAAAATAAATAAACAATAAAAATATCTGCAATGTTAGTTACACTATTATTTTAATTTTTTATGAATTTATAATATTAAAATTTAATTATTTAAATGGCAATAAACAAAGAATTTACCTTGAAATTCGTTCCTGCAGAATTATTTAGATAAATAATTAGGTGTCTCAAAGTTAAATTAATTTTTGGTCAAATACTGGAAGGTTGCATGTGAATGTGTGCATTAATGATTGAGCCTCACGTTGGCTCAATATTAACCGACCGCTTTGTAATTTGCCGACCTCCATTATTAAATTATTTAATTTAGAGAATCACATTTAAAATTATAATATATTATTTTATTAAATCATTCGATTATTAAAAGTTACAAAATATCCTTCGACTATGGAGTGTTGCTTTGTTAAGTCCATCGATTATTAAAAGTTACAAAACAGTCACATGACTATTCATTATGTTTCAAAATTTTCCTTTTTCATTAAGAAATGGACGATATTCTGAGCTGGTTAACTTGTTGACCGTGACATGATAAAATTTAATCACAAAATCTCAAACGACTATCATATCACCGTCATTAGATTAACATCAAGCTTAAACAACTGCCAACTTGTTAATAGAAAAATGACGAGTCTTGAACATAATGAACAATTAGGCGATCGTTTTGTAACTTTTAATAGTCGAGAGACTCAACAAAGCAACACTCCATAGTCGAAAAACTATTTTCTAACTTTTAATAGTCGATAGGTTTAATAAAATAATATCTTATAATCATGAGATCAGTTGTTTACCCTAAATTAAATTTATTAAAAAAATAAATATTTAAATACACAAATTATTTGTGATTAGCATAGCTATATAATTAATTAAATAATTTTCAATGTCTAATTATTTTCCTAATGAATGTCTTCTAGACTTCAAACTTAAGAATGAATCTAACATATTTGGATTTGTGGATGATGCTTATTATTTGAAGGTAATGCATAATTATTTTGATTTATAAATGACATATTGATGATGAACAAGTCTAAGAATTATATCTCAAAAACAAAATAATTATAAAATATAGGGTAAAAATATTAAGATTAATTAATTATGTATTTTTAATTAAAAATTATTTTTAACAAATTATAATTGAATCACTTAATTTAAATATTTTTATAAAAATGGGTCACATTTGCTCTTGTAATAGACTCAATTTATCATTTTTGCCCTTATCGTATTTTCGCATCAATTTAGCTCTTCAAATTCTCAATTGCATTATTCTATATTCTATCTCTAACTTAAAACTCCAAATTATAAATGGTTTAGTGACTAGGGTTTAGGGTTTAGAGGTATGAAGATATGGTCTAGGGTTTAAGCTTTTATGTTTTAGGGTTTTAAGTTAGGGGTAGGGTATATAATGTTGCAATTGAGCAATTTGGAGAGCTAAATTGTGAAAATACGATATGGACAAAAATGATAAATTGGGTCTACTACGGGCAAAAATTATCTTTTTGCCTACTATGAACATATACCTAATATATTAGATGGAATGATGTGATATAATATAATAATAATTTTATTTCACAAAATTTATTCATTATACTAATTTGATATCAATTTAAAATAATTTAATAAATTTAATCCTTCACAATTACAAATTCTATCAAATTAGTCTTTGTTATTCCCTTGAATTATTTGTTATTCTCACAGAAATATTTTTATTACTTTCATGTTACTTTCTCAGCATAATAACAATTAAGGTAGTATTCATTTGAGTTAATTGCATCATACATCCTCAAATTATGATTCTTTTTTTTAAATTGATCTCTAAATTTTTAAATATTTCAATTTCATCCTTAAACTATGATTATCATTCTAAATTTATCCTCAAACTTTTTAATATTTTATTTTCACCCCAAACTATATCATTCATTCTAAATTAGTCCTAATACTTTTTCAACATTTCAATTTTATCCCAAATTATATGTATATACTAATCACACTCTATTTTAATAAAATTGTTAGGCCAAGTTGTATTATTATATGTTTGGGAAAAAATAATGTTTAGATTAAACTATGGTTAAAACTAATTACATATTTGGATGAATTTAGAGATAAATTGAAAGATTTAAAAGTTTGGGGACAGATTCAAAATGAGGGTCATATTTTGAGGATGAATTTGGAATGTTCAAAAGTTTAAGGACTAATTTATAATGAAAATTATAGTTTGAGGATGAAATTGGTATATTCAAAAGTTTAGAGAACAATTTAAAATGATTCATAGTTTGAGGACATATGATGCAATTAACTCTATTTATTAAAAAAAAAACTCTTTTAACAGTGAACATTCGTACACCCCTACAAACGTCATATTTTTATATGATACCTTTAAAAATAACAACAATCTTTCAACTATTGAAATTATTTGATTCGTGTTATCCGGAATTATTAAATTAAATATAGTTTTTTATTTTATAAATTAGCATAAAAAAGTAATGGCATTGGAAAAAATGGATGGTTTGAGCGTTGAAATTTGAAGGTCGCCAATTGCGGAGATTTAGGCTGGGATTTTCGTGATACAACCGTTTACTATTTTAATATTATTCATAAATTAAAAAAACTTGGGGTAAATTACACCATAAGTTACATATTATTTATATATTACAAATGGTTCACCATGTTATAAGTTTGTAACAAACAAGTCACTCTATTTATTGATTGTAATAATTATTTTATTTTTATTTATAAATTAATAAATAAATTACTCTATTTATTGAGTATAACAATCCTATCACTATGTTTATCGATTACAGTAAACATGTCACTGAGAGACCTGAGTGACATGTTTGTTATCATGATCAATAGAATGACTAATTTTGTATTTTTTTTTTTAAATTTAGTGACACATTTGTAATCATACTAATAATTAATGTCATGTGATATAGTTCACTCGAAAAAGGAGATTTAAAGTAGTTGGAAAAATTAAAACTAAAGGTAAAGTAAACAAATACAGAGTATTACTTTATTGAGTTTTTCGACTATTAATAGTTATAAAATGATCCCTTAACTATAAGACGTTATTTTTTAAGTCTCAAACTATTAAAAGTTACAAAATGGTCACTCAACTATTCATTGTGTTCCAAACTCGTCCTTTTTCGTTGGATGTTAACATGCTTACTAGGATATCATAGTCGTTTGAGATTATATCATATTATATAATATCTTAGTCAGCATGTTAACATTTATCTCAAACTATCATCAATTTTTAATGGATAAGTACGAGTTTGAAACACAATGAATAATTGAGTGATCATTTTGTAACCTTTAATAGACAAAAGACTAAAAATATAACGTCTTATAATAAAGATAACATTTTATAAGTTTTAATAATCTCAAAGATTCAATAAAATAATATTTTATATATATTTTACCATAAAATTAAAATGAAAAGGTCAAACATGCATTTACTTTGCTTGCTTTATCTATCCTTGCTTGCTCTTCACTTTCTCTCACTTTCTTCCCTTTGTTTCCCTTTCAGCTTTGCTTTTTTTTAAATTCCAACAATCTTTTTGCTCTTTGCTTCAAGTTCCTTAATTGAGTGACAAAAGCACCATCTTCATCATCATCATAATCAAATCATCATTGTTTAAAGAAAAACTCCTTTCACTCAAATTCTATTGTAAACCTTTGCTTCTTCCTTAAAAAGACACCACTTTCTCTTGCTCTGTTTCTCTCGGGGAAAAAAAGTTTATGGGTTCTGTTTCTTGAATCTCGGTTTCCACTGCGATTATTGATCTGGGTGTTCAACAATCTTCACATATTTTGCGTTTTGTTTTATAAATCATGGGAACTTGGGATAATTCAATGGATCAGAGCGATCCCTTTGAGTCAGCATTGAGTTCCATGGTGTCTTCACCTGCAGCTTCGAATGTCCCTGTTTCTGGGGAAAATGTAATGATGAGGGAATTGATTGGAAAATTGGGGAACATATGTAGTTCTGGTGATGCTTCTTGTTATACTACTCCATTGAATTCACCTCCGAGGTTCGATCTTTCAATGGTGAATTTGCCGAATCGTTCATCGTTGGCGGCGCCGTTTTCGGCTGATCCTGGATTCGCTGAGAGGGCTGCTAGATTTTCCTGTTTTAGTTCCAGCGGGAATTCCGGTGGCTTCAATGATCCATTAATGGATTCCTTTAAGCTTTCTGGCAATCAACCCATTAATGTTGATGGATCTCAGAGCAACAAGAATTCTGGTTCCGATAAGAAAAACAGTGGGGTTTCAAGGTCTTCCTCGCCGGAGAATGCCGAATCCGGTGTTTCCAAGGATGAATCTTCAGTTTTCCAGCAGATCCAATCCCAGAACGATGCCGGCACCAGGAAAAGGAAATCAACTCCGAGGGAAAAACCAAAAGAAATCCCATCTCCAGCAGCTGATGATGCCAAGGTACTTGAAGTTATTCGAATTGTCGAATTCTATCGAAAAATGTAGGGTAAGCTAATGATAGATATCCATTTCAGGTTGCATCAGAGAACGAGGAATCGAACTCGAAACGAAGCAGGCGAAATGGAGCTCCGGCTGGGAATGGGAATGCTAAAGGATCAAATGATGGGAATGAGAAGCAAAGGAAAGAGAATTCGAAGTTGCTGGAGCCGCCGAAGGATTATATCCATGTCAGGGCCAGAAGGGGTCAAGCAACTGATAGCCATAGTCTTGCAGAAAGAGTATGAAAACCTCGAAAATCAATGATCTGTAGTAGCTATTCATTGCATAGTAATTGAGGTTTATGTTCGTCTAATGTTCGTATCGAATCGAAATTTCGCAGGTTCGAAGAGAGAAAATAAGTGAAAGGATGAAGTTCCTTCAGGATCTTGTTCCTGGTTGCAATAAGGTCAGCATAATTCGTGTTCGATAAATGCCTCGAACGTTCATTCGGATTAGCATATTAAATCGGGAAGTCTATTCGTTGCAGGTGACTGGTAAAGCAGTTATGCTTGATGAAATCATTAACTATGTGCAGTCCTTACAGCGCCAGGTTGAGGTAAGCTGAATTTCCGACGTCTCTGCCATTGATCGTAATGTCGATTTCGGTTCGAGGGCGGAAAGTATGTCTGATGAACTGATATCTGTCTGCAGTTTCTATCTATGAAGTTGGCCACTGTGAATCCGAGGATGGATGTTAACATGGAAGCCCTTCTATCAAAGGATGTAAGTTAATCTCCCTTATATTAGTCTCTCTATTCGGCAACTCATCCCGATTTTTCAAGCGACGATCTTGCTATCGTTGTGTTCTGCAGATGTTCCAATCCCGTGGACAGTTGCCGCACGGAATTTATTCGATCGATTCATCACCGGCATTCCCTTACGGTTATCAGCCCCAGCAAGGGCTACTACCACTTACCAATGGCATACCGAATACCACCGAGACTCCGTTCTCGATGAAAACACAAGGCTTCCTGCTGCCTTCGGTCGACGGTTTCACCGATGCTCATCCTCAGGTCGGACCAATGTGGGAAGATGATCTCCAGAGCATTGTTCAAATGGGGTTTGCCCAGAATCAGCCACAAAGCTATCAAGGTAAAGCATGAACTCAACCATGTCCGATCAATTACGTTACTTCGACTATTCGGAATCAGGCATGGTTCGAGTTCGAATAACGAATCCGATCCGGTTTTTCAATGTCTGGTGCAGGCTCAATACCAACAGGGCAAGTGAAACTCGAGCTATGAGCTACCACTAAACACCACCATTGTAAATAGAAACGGAAAGCCTTATTTTCCCAGAAATTGTTTCTGAGACCCCAAATTTTAGAGATTTCTTACAACAAATCCTGATTTGTAATATTTTAGTACTAATCACAATCAAGTCCATGTATGGAGGTTGAAAGAAGAGATGAATTTTTATGTAATACTTCCGTTTCAACCATATGTCTTTGTGTTACGATCTCGAGGATCGAATCGAAGTCTTCGGCTAATATTCTTCCGCAGATTATGGTTTTGTTAATGTTAAAAAAAAGTGCAGATAACATCAACAGCAAAACGAAACAGTTGTGTCCAATGAAATTTATCCATTTTCTTTTGTTTTTTCTTTTCTCGGCAACCAAACAAAAGCTACAGGTAAAACGAAAAAGACAGCATTTCTCCCTCATTGCTTTCAGATTTAGCTGGAAAATAAATTAAAAATCAGATATTCGTTTACTTGTAAACAGCTGTTAAGGTGGGGACAATTCATCTCTTGAGATGATTAGCCATATTTTGTGTTTTTGAGCTGTAATCCATTGCATCTCTTCCAACAAAATAATCTCCCAGTTTACCTGCATTCTTAATTTTTTGGTCAAATTTGTCATTAGTCCTTTATTATGTATAAGTTGTGTAATTTAGTCCATGCATTATAATTTAATCAATTTTAATTTGTATATTTTACGAGTCTTTAAATTTTAATTTTGACTCAAATAATACTAGAATGATTTTATAATTTTTAATAGGTTATGGTATAAAACAATTCACGATGCAAACATGATATGGATACATAAATATATCTGAATGTAATTATAAACATGCAAGTATGATATGAATACATAAACATATTGAATGAAATTCTAAACACAAAAAATACACTAACGATAAATAAAGGGTAAATTATGTGTTTAGTACCTAAACTATCAGTTTTGGTCCGTTTTAGTACTTAAACTTTCATTTTTTAAAAATCATACGTAAAATTTAGTTTTTCTTTCATTTTATACCCTTGATCAAAATTTAACGTTAAGTTTTTAGAAAACTGAAAGTTTAGGTATTAAAATGAACCAAAACTCATAGTTTAGGTACTAAATGCGTTAGGTTTTTAACGGTGGGTACTAGAATGAAATAAAAACTAAATGTTAAGTATGATTTTGAAAAAATTGAAAGTTTAGGTACTAAAACGAACTAAAACTGATAATTTAGATACTAAATGAGTAGTTTACCCTAAAATAAACGAGAAATTGGTGAAGTTCTGAGTTGGCTGAAGAATAAAAAGACGTCTTTAGTCTCTATAATCCAATCTGCTTTAGAAAATTCTGACAAAAAGAGTGGAACTTCTATTAAAAGGTGATGTTGTGGGAAAAAGAAAGTTAGTGGAATTCATATGTAAAATAGATAAAGATATGACCTTTAAAAAGACAACTTTTCCCCCATGAAAGTTGTCTTTGAAATCCAAAAAGTCTTACAAAAGAGAATTTTTGACAATTGGTGATGGATCTAATTGAATTTTTTTTAAATAGATGATTTTCAAGCAATTTTGTTTGAATTGAGTCGGTTGTTAAGTTAATTCGACATTTGATCTGAATTCGACGTGTTTCGATTTTTTTTATTCTTTTTTTAAATATAAATTTAAATGAGTTTATTTAATGATAAAGTCGAGCCGAATTTGAGGGGAGAAATAGTTAACCTAACCGAAGATAATAATATATTTTTTTCTCATATATTTAGAGATGATTATAATAAGACTTATATAACAAATAAGTACCTAAAGTGTGTCATATTTTTCATTTAAATACCAAAAGTATTTTTTGATCACAATAAGTACCTAAATATATATTTTTTGGTCAAAATAAGTACCTAAAATATTTTTTTCATCTAAGTACCTAAACAACAACAACAACAGCAACAAAACTCTATTCTCATATGCATCTAAGTACCTAAAGTATTATTTAATTAATCTCTCATGCCAACTTTTTTAGAACTTAGATGAAAAAATTTGAATAGTTTAGGTACCTATTTTGACATAAAATATTTTAAATACTTATTTTGACCAAAAAAATAACCGTAGGTATTTATTTTGACAAAAAAATACTTTAGGTGCTTAAATGAAAAAATATATATTTTAGTACTTATTTGTGGTATAAGTCTTATAATAATACACTTCTCTAAACCTTTTCAATTAGATTCATATTTTACTTAATAAAAAAGATCATATATATCAGTATCTATCGGGTCGAGTGTAAATTTTTATCCTTAAAACCGAATCAAACTTCAAGTTAGATAGAACTTTTCTAAATTTGAGTTAGTTCAAATACGAACGGAAAGAATATTATATTTAGATTAAATTCGAATAAATAAAAATTCGATCTGATACGATCAATAACCATTCTTACTCTTTTTCCCCTCTACCTACCTAATAATCCTCCAAATCGTTATTGGTTCATTGCTATTTAAACAAGAAGTTTTATTTTCTTCAATTACTTAAAATGATAGTAATAAATTACAGGGTAAATTTCACCTTTAGTACCTAAACTATTAATTTTGATCTGTTTTAGTATCTAAACTTTCAATTTTTCATAAGTATATCTAATGTTTAGTTTTCATTCATTTTAGTACCCGCCATTAAAAACTTAACACGTTTAGTACCTAAACTATATGTTTTAGTCCGTTTTAGTGCCTAAACTTTCAATCTTTTCAAAATTTAACTTTAAATTTTGAACAAGGGTACTAAAATGAAATAAAAAGTAAAGTTTTTAATGGCATGGTACTAAATGAAATAAAAACTAAACTTAAGTTATGATTTTGAATAAAAACCCCGAAACTTTAGATACTAAAATTGATGAAAATTAATAGTTTAAGTATTAAATGCACAGTTTACCCTAAATTATATTTTGAAATTATTTGATTGAATGAATCTGACACAACACTGCAAATTGTAAGATTATTCTCCCACAAGAAAAGTTTCAAATCCATATGCTCATGATGAACTTTTAACAAGAATATCTCAACTCTTTGTAATGGACAGTTTGGTGCATCTGTTTTTGTCTAATTAATTTGTTGTACTTTTAGGTATTAATGGATGTGGTTGATGGTTATGATTAATCAAGGACAATTTATTTGAGATAATTGCCCTTATTCAAAGGGATTTTGCTTTAATTAGACAAGATTTTTCACCTGTGATTAGGGGAATATTAATTTTTTTAATTAAATTCTCATTAATTATCTTGGACTCATAGTCATTTACCATGCACGTTCTTTCTTTTCGAATAAAATTCGTATCTTTTTTTCAATTTGACCCTTACGAGTGCAGCCCAATTTCCTACCACATAAGTAAAGGTGCGACCTATTCTTTATCGGGTACTATGTCACTGTAATAGTTTAAGTATTAAAACAGATTAAAATCGATAGTTTAGATAATAAATGCGTAATTTATCCTTAAATCTAGGACAACCAATGAGATTTAAATGGTTGGATCAATAAAAGTAGTCAATACCTTTCAACATCATCAATGTCACATTTTGATAGTGATTGCTAGAGCAAATTGTGTGACTAAATCCAGCATGATATGGACAAATCAGTCTAGTGATTATGATATAAGCATTGTCAATTAAATTCAAATTTAGTACACAAATTTATTGATCCGAGTTGATTATAAGGTAATTTGTATTTAAAGAGTAAAATATACAAATGATCTCCGACTATAGTATATTGGTTTATAGAGTTCATTGACTATTAAAAGTTACAAAATGGTCATTCGACTATAGGGAGTTATTTGCTAAGTCTCTCGACTATTGAAAGTTATAAAATGGTCACTCAAGTATCCGTTATATTTCAAACTCGTCCTTTTCCGTTAAAAAAATTAATGGTCGTCTAAGTTGGGCGTTACCATATTGACTAAGATCTGATAGTTATTTGAGATTACGAGATTAGATTTTATCATGTCTAAGTCAGCAGGTTAATGTACAGCTCAGACTACCGTCAATTTTTTAACGAAAAATGACGAGTTTGGAACATAATGAATAGTCGGGTAACCATTTTGTAACTTTTAATAGTCAAGGGACTCGACAAAGCAACTCCCTATAGTCGGAGGACCATTTGGTAACTTTTAATAGTCGGAGACTCAATAAAACAAATCCTATAGTCAGGGGACTATTTATGTACTTTACCATTATTCGAAAGACTCTTAATTATTTAACAATGTACACTTAAATATTCATGCAAACATAGTACTTGAACCCTGAACTTCAGAGTTAACAACCATCCTTTTTAAAATCGAATTTTAATGTGATTTTAGAAGATTATAGTTTCTTATAGTATGTATGTATGTATGCATGTATGCATGTATGCATGTATGCATGTATGCATGTATGCATGTATGCATGTATGCATGTATGCATGTATGCATGTATGCATGTATGCATGTATGTATGTATATGTAAATCATTAAAACTTATTATATGTAAGAGTGAAGGTGTGAAAAAACATTAATGTGAATAATTACTATATAACTTTAAATAGTTAGGTAAAATTAGTTGCATCATTGGATTCTTATTGTCCCACAGTTGCAAGTTACAACTGCAATTGCTTTAATTAACAGAACCAGTTTGAATCTTCTACTTTGGTTTATGTTAATGTCATCCACTTCAATAAATAATACCTCAATATTAATATTTTAATACAATAAATTATTAAAATTTCATCCTAATTCTTATTTTTGTGATTAAATATATTTTTAAAATCTCTATAAATTTGACTTCATTATTAGATATATGATCATTTGAATATATAAAAGAAATTAAATAAAACTCATATTATTTTTTTCTTTTAGTGTAGTCTTTCAACTCAAAAACAAACAAACTGAATATGGTCATTTGACTACGTTTTTCTGTAATTGACAGTTACGGTGTTGACGTGACAGTTCACAGTTCTGACATAACAATCTACGATGTTGACGTGACAGTCCTTCTGTCATGTCATCCTCCATGTTATGAACCCCCGTGAACTGCCATGTTAGCATCGTAACAGTCAACGATGAAAAATGTTGGTCAAATGATCACATGGGTTTATTTATGAGTTAGAGGGACATATTAAAAAAATAATAATACGAGAACCACATTGGTTTTTTTTATAGGCATC